ATAGTTATCATTATTTTTCTTTTTTCAACCTATATCTAAAAAGTTTTATGTGTGTTGCCAAGTTCCGTAAAAATGAAGAATTAATCAAATTTTTTGCTAGCAGTGCAATTTCTAGGTTATTTAAATAAATAGAGAAGTGCATAATTCTATCAAGCGTGAAAAAAGCGAGTGATTTTTCTGACAATCATTTTAAAGTAAAAATCTTTGTTTTTTTTCTGTTTTTTTAATACAGACTAAGGATTGCAAATGATGGGTGCTTTTGCTATGTAAAAAGGGGCTTGTTTTCACTCTGTTGAAAATCGAATAAATCCAATGGACAACAGTTTAAGATATAGCCAGAAAATGAAAGAAAAAAGGTAAAAAACCCAATTCCGTGTTTTTGACAGCGTACTAAACTTACTAGTTGTTTACAAGCAATCTAATTGTTATTGTAAAGTTTCAAAGTTTGATAAAGCAGCACAATCCTCATTGGTCAGCATATAATCATTTTCGTAACTTAGACTACCAAACGCTTCCCAATTCGTTGAGTCGTCTTTTTATCTGAAGACTTGCTTACTTTGAGACTGTAAAAATTTTAAGTGTTTTCTGGTCACGACTTTTTTAAATGGCTTTACCAATGTCGTTGGAATTACTTACGAAATTTCCCATTGTGTGAGTTTCTGGTTTTCGATGGCGTAAGTTCAGGATAAGTACCGTGAAGACGAATGATGTCGAGACTACCAAAAGGCAAGAGGTAAAAAAGGCAGCTAAAATTTGTAGAAATGAAAACTATTTGGTGAGGAAAGTTATTCAAAGCTTCACTAACAAGCGGTTTTTCTCAGTGCGTTTTTCAAAATTTCTCTCCATCACTGCATAATTTAATGGTCTTAAAATGGATCAAAAATTTGACATCATTAGAACAACTAACAATAATTGACCTGTCAAAGTCGTTTCAAATGTAAATTTTTTTTCAGTTTGTGCTCGACAACCGCAACTTTTTCTTGTTTTTCCTTTTGTTTCTCAGCAAAAACTTTTTGCTTAACTACCAATATCTTTCTGTGTGGTAAACTAAGTGGTGTTCAAAAACGGTCAATTATTTTGTTAAGCCAAAATAATGCTAAAGTCTTAATGAGGTTCCTGATGCGATTGCAAAAGTGATGGATGACCATGATTATTACATAATATTGGGATGGCGTCGGATGAAGGTGGCGTCATGTTGGCAACCATTTGCAGAAAAAATACCACAGAAAGAAGGATAGTGGTTTCTGAAAAAGAAATGGAAGCGAAGTTCACACCGATATTCGGTAGGGAAAGTTGAGAACGTAATCAAGAAAATCATTTTGCTTGATTATTTTGAAAATGACTCTGTCTTAAAAAGAAACCATGCTCTCTTTTTACATTAATCTAAGGCAGGGAGTGTCAGGAAACTGCATATTAAGAATACCAAGTGTGATCTTCTCACAAGCATCTGGTGGAAGAGTGAAACCGAGGACTGTCATTAACGAGATAAGAAGACTTGGTATAATAAGGTTAATTCCATAGGCTAAAGTTCGGCGCTGAATACGAATGTAGAAGAAAAGTTCATGGTATGCAACTCCTTCAAAAGCTTTTAC